ACTAACAGAGATCCACCTGCCTCTGCCTCCTGAGTGCTGGGTTTAAAGGTGTGCGCCACCACGCTCAGCTGATGCACATGATTTTTGATATCCATCCATTTCTTTTAGGTGTTCAAATTTAGTAGAGTATAGGTTTTTAAAGTATTCCCTTATAATGTTCTGTATCTTTTTTGTTATCTGTTGTGATATTTCTCTTCTGTCTCTGTTTTGTTGATTTGGATTTGTTCTTTCCTTCTTTTGGCTAACTGGCTTAAGGGTCTGTTTATGTTGTTTACCTTTTCAAAGAACAAGCTCTTAGATTCATTGATTCTATGTATTGTTTTCTTTGTTTCTATTTCACTTATTTCTGCTCTGATTTTTGTTATTTCTTCTCATGTGCTGGATTTGGGTTTCATATGTTCTCACCTTTCCAGAGTCTTGAGTTGCAATGTTAAGTCATTTTTTTGTGTTCTTTTTGGTTTTTTAATGTGTTAGGGTCCGAGACTCCATGGGCTTCCCAGGAAAACAATATGTACGAGCACGGAGATGTAATTCAAGCAAAGTCTTTATTAAGCCAGCTAGCTGGGGTCGACCATCCTCCCAAGACACGCAGGCCTGGTTAGAGCAATCGACCCTGAAGCAACTTCAGGCAAAGTTTATATAGGATTTTCACAGCCGTTGTACCAGAGCCCATGCATTTTTCACATAACCAATAGCTTTAAAATACCTAACCTATAGATTTAAGCCAATTCATGTGTGTCACCCTCTGGGTGGTATGTGTCAGTTTCCTGATTTCTGTAATCTCTTATTTATACAAGCATTTCTGACCTCTTTCTGTTATCTCTCACATGCCTATGTGACTTATCACAGGTCACGCCCTGGGGCAGCAGCCCACATCCCGTTATCTATCTCCGGGCACTCTTATGTCTCAGTCTAGCCTTGTACCCGATTTGAGTGGCTCTTACCCAGGAAGTTATAAGCAATGAAGTAATTAAACTTAAGTACTATTATTCTCTCTCTCTCTTCAATCTTTGATTCCCTCTGTATTTTTCCCTTACAAATATAGGCACGTAGGGCTATAAACTTCCCTCTTGGGACTGTTTTAAAGTGCCCCAGAGGTTTTATTGTGTTGTGTTATCCTTTTTGTTTCATTCCAGGAATACTTTTTAAAAATTATTTATTTAATAACCATATAATTAGAAGAGGCATTTCATGACAACAGCATTGACATATTCAATAACAATTTCCAGAGCTAAGATGCGTCTGTTTCAAGATTTTATAAACTTCCCTCTTGGGACTGTTTTAAAGTGCCCCAGAGGTTTTATTGTGTTGTGTTATCCTTTTTGTTTCATTCCAGGAATACTTTTTAAAAATTATTTATTTAATAACCATATAATTAGAAGAGGCATTTCATGACAACAGCATTGACATATTCAATAACAATTTCCAGAGCTAAGATGCGTCTGTTTCAAGATTTGCTGTAAATTTTTAGGTTTACAGTTGAATTAATACAGCTATACAATATTGTACTCAGTATAAACCATGTATAAAACCTATAAGACATAAAATTAAATGAGGTTTTAAACTTTGAAAAGGATCTCCATTTCATTATTAAAATACACAGTTTCATACAGAAAAATTCATTTTTAATACAATTGACAGTAAGATGAACATGCGTTTCTAATCTCTTTATATCTGATTATTACTAGTCACAGTCGGTTACTTTCTGAGCTCCTTGGTATCTGAGCATGGATATAAAGTCATCAGGTAGATTTCAATCGTTCCAAGAACACTTTTATTTCTTTCTTAATTTCTCCTTTGACTCACTCATCATTCAGGAGTGTGTTGTTTAATCTCCATGATTTTGTGTACTTACTAGAACTTCTTTTAGTGTTAATCATAAGCTTTATTGTATTGTGGTCTGATGGAATGCATGGAATTATATCAATATTTTTTGTATTTGTTGAGGCTTGTTTTGTGCCCCAGTATGTGGTTGATTTTAGAGAAAATTCCATGGGGTGCTTAATAGAAAGTGTATTCTTTGGTGATTGGGTGGAATATTTGGTAGATATATGTTAGGTCCATTTAATTCATATCATTTAATTAAGATGTCTCTCTGTTTAGTCTCTGCCCAGTTGACCTATCTAATGGAAACAATGAGGTATTGAAGTCCCCTACTATTACTGAATTGGGGATAATCTGTGCCTTAAAGTCCTGTAGTTCTGTTTTTATGAAATTGGGCGAGAGTTTGGTGCATATATGTTCATGATTGTAATGTCTTCTTTGTGAATTGTCCCTTTGATCAGAATGAGGTGACTGTATCTCTTCTGATTAGTTTTAGTTTGAAGTCTATTTTGTCAGATATTAGAATTGTAACTCCTGCTTGTTTCATAGTGCCACTTGCTTGGAATATTCCTTTCCATTCTTTCACCTTAAAGTAGTGCCTGTCCTCGAAGGTGAGATAGGTTTCTTGAAGGCAACAAAAAGTTGGATTTTGTTTCTAAATTCATTCAACTAGCCCATGTCTTTGATTGGATAGTTCAGTCCATCGATCTTTTCAGTTATTATTGAAAGATGTGTTTTGGTTGCCATCATTTTAATTTCTGTTTGTATTCTTGGTATAATTTTGTGTTTCTACAATTATACCTTCATTTAGTTTGTTTCTATTGCCCCTGAGGTATAGTCAGTCCTTTTTCCATTCTTTGTATTATTTTAAGTACTCTGTGAAGGGCTGCTTTTACTGACATGAATTCTTTCAGGCCATTTGTATTGTGGAAGAGTTTTCTTTCCTCTTCAACTATAATAGGGAAGTTTTGCTGGGTAAAGTATTTTGCATTGGCATCCGTGGCATTAGAACTAAGAATACTTTGGTCCAGGCTCTTCTGACTTTCGTACTTTGCATTGATAAGTCAGCTGTAATTCTGATTGGTTTTCCTTTACTTGTGACTTGTTTTTCTCTTACAGTTTTCAGTATTCTCTCTTTGTTTTGTTCATTTAGTGCTTTTAGTATGACATGCCATGAGGAGTTTTCTTTACTGCTCTTATCTATTTGGTGTTCTATGTGCTTCTTGCATTTGTATGGGCATGTCTTTCCTTATTTTGGGGAAATTTCCTTCTACAATACTGTTGAAGACCAGGCCAATACCTTTAATCTGAAATTCTTCTCCATCCTTTATGCCTATGATGCATAAATTTAGTCTTTTCATGGTTTCCCACATTTCCTGCATATTTCATTAATATGCTTTAAAATTTTTTTCATAATTTTTCCTTGAGTGGTCCCATTCTTCAACTTTATCATCCAGTCCTTATATTCTGTTTTCCATTTCACTCATTTGTACATGGTGAGAGATGAGTTCCATTCTTCTGCATGTTGCTATCCAGGTTTGCTGGCATCGGTTGTCGATGATGCTCTCCTTTTTCTTTGTATGTTCCTGTAATCTTTGTCAAAATGAGGTAACTAGGGCTGGAGAGGTGGTTCAGCAGTTAAGAGTACCATCTCCTCTTGCAGAGGACCGGGGTTCAGTTCATAGCATGCACATGGTGGCTAACAAGTATCCTAACTCTAGTTCGCTTAATGATGAAGAAGTGATGTTGTTTATCTCTTCTGCCAAATTGAGTTTTAAATCTGTCTTGTGTTATTTGAGTAGATATGCCTGCTTGTTTCCTAGTTCTGTGATGGAGTACTTTCTCCATCCCTTTATCCTGAGGCAGTATCTATCTTTGAGAGCAGCACTATTTCTTTGGGGTAGCAAGAAGGTGGATCCACTTTCTGAATCCAATCTGCTACACTGTGTCCTTTATTTTGAGGAACTGTGGAATTGTGACCATTAATATCTGAAGTTATTTTAGATAGTATGAATCAATTCCTGTCCTTTTGTTGATTTTGTGTTGTTTTCTTAGACTTTTTTGAGGAATAGTTTTGGCCTTCTTTTTCACCTGTGACATCCACGTGTTTAACCCTGTTTTCTATTCCTAGTATTCCTTCCAGTATCTTCTGTAGAGCAGGCTTAGTGGTCATATATTCCTTTAGCCTCTGTCATGAAATCCTGTTACTTCTCTTTCAGTAGTTTTGTGAAGTGTAACAGTCAATGTTGGCAACTGTGAAATAAAAATCTTTCCAAGCTCTTCTGGCCATTGAAGAATCTGCCATTGCTGTTTTGTGCCTTTATGTGGGACTTGGCCTTCTCTCTTGCAACTTTCAGTACCTTTGTTTAGTCTTTGTCTTAATGTTTTCACTATGATGTGCTGTGGAGAGTTTCTTTTCTGGACCTCTCTGTTTGATGTTCTGTTGACTTCTTGTACTTGGCTGGATAACTTTCTCTGTAGATTTGTGAGACATTCTTGTGTGATTCAATTTAAAATATTATGCAGGATGGGTGTGGTGGTGCACGCCTTTAATCCTACCATTCTGGAGGCAGAGGCAGGCAGATCTCTGTGAGGTCAAGGCCAGCCTGGTCTACATAGCAAGTTCAGGCTAGCTGAGTCTACAGGGAGACCCTGGAGTGTGTCTCTTTTTTCTCTGTCCATAATTTGCAGGTTTGGCTTTTTAATGGTGTCATAAAATTCCTGCATATTCATTTTTTCTGTTTTTTTTTTAAAAAAAGAATTGTCTATGCTTTACCTAAAAGCACTTTTTAAAAATTTCATTTTATTTATTTTTATTTTATGTGTATGCATGTATTGCGTGCATGTAGGTAAGTGCACCAGTGCCGTGCAGAGCCAGGAGCTAGAGCTACAGACGGTTGTTAGGTGCCATGCGGGTGCTGGAATTTGAACCTGGGTCTTCTGTAAGAACAACCAGTGTTCTTAACAGCTGAGCCATCTCTCCAGGCCCCTAAGAGCACTTTTAACATTGATTTCTGGCAGTGAATCTTATTTGAGTTAGCAAAATGGCAAAGACCACCCTCTCATGGTGAACTCAGTACACTGCATGATGAATGCAGGCCCTGGATGGTCAGCAATGGGCTTCCTGTGACACTTCCTGAGACATCTATTTCCTGTCAAAATCCGGACTTTCGGAGGGACAACCTCAGGGTGTTAGAGAAATTCCAGGTATTTGACTGGTAATAGGGGAGAACACTGGGGGGAAGATAAATGTGGTCTTTTAATGTCACTTCATTTACCCAGGGAAGGAAATAATTATTCATCTTCTTTTGAAAGCTCTCCAGGGTGACAGTTAATGTATTAAATTCTTAGGAATTAAAAGGAATTTCTTATCAATTGGTATCTTTTAGTAGTATAGAGCATTTTCTTTAAAAAAGAAAATCTCTCCTTTTCCTTGTTTGCTTGACCCGGTTCTTCAGGCCTCCTCCAAGTTCTGTGTTCTGATGTCTCTATCTGATCTATTCTGGTGGTGAGGCTTTGTAAGTCAAATTTACTTCTGGGAGACACATTGCCACCCTCTCTCCTCAGTCCTTACGACCAACTGATACACTATTCCTCCAAAGATTTGCTGCAATGTGTCTTATCTGTTAGAATAGCTGAGATTGTTCTGGGATCAGCAATATGGCTTGCTACTGGGAAATGTCAGAATCCTTGCCCACACTTGCCTGAAATACCTGCTTTTGTAAAATGCTGACTGTTTAAATAACCTAAGGGACACCTATACTTCAGTGCTGGAAGTCTGAAATCCACCAAATGATTACTGCCAAGGGCCTGCATGAGAAATCTTGTAAAAACCTTGTGTTTTATTGTCCATGCCTCATTATCTCTGGAGTAGGTTAGCCTGAGTGTGGCCAAGGATAAACTTCCTGAGCATGGTTTGATTCCCCTATCTTGAACTCCCTCCATGTATTTATGTGTTCTTGTGTGTGTGTGTGTGTGTGTGTGTGTGTGTGTGTGTGTGTGTGTGTGTTCTTTTTGAGATAGGGCCTCCCTGTAGCTGGCCTGCACTTGCTCTGTAGACCAGGTTGGCCTTGACCTTGAACTCATAGAGATCTGCCTGCCTCTGCCTCCCAGTGCTGGGATAAAAAGGCGTGTGCTACCACACCCAGGGTATAAGTGTTCTTTTTGGGTTCTGTATCTTAGATTTCTTCTAAATTGCTCTCTTAGGGAACATTGCTATGGACTTACTGCTCTTTATTGTGGGGGCGCATATTTTCTTGGTTTATCACATTTTTAGTATTTGGGGGATGATCTCTGGGCAAGTGCATTTAGTTTGTTATCTTTTCCTGAGTTTTTTTAGTGGAGGAGGATGGAATCCCAAGGTAAAACTTTCAGGCTGGGTGTCTTTGGAGGTGTCACAAGAGGACAGAACCCAGGCTGGGGTGCTAGGTAGGGGGGTAGGGTGTCTTTCTAGGTCCAGGCGTGGTCTAAGCCCACAGCAACGCTGTAAAGAGGCTGTGTACTGGGTCTAGGGCTAGAATGACAGCTGGAGCCACTTGGTTGGGATTTTGAGGTGCGTGGGAGGGGCGGGGTCTGAGTGGGTCAGGGACAGTCACCTGTGTCAGAGGAGAGACCCAAAGAACGGAGGTGGAGCAAATTCCTGTGGTTAGAGAAGGGGTGTGGCATGGGCGGAGTCTAAAGAGTACTGTGCCTGGAACCTGGGGTGGAGTGGCCCCGGGGCCTGAGCTGAGATGGAAAGGCGCCAAATCTAGAGAGATCCTGGGGCCTGGGGGCCTGGAAAACGCCACTTGGTGCGGAACCGGAGGCGGACGGAACCTGACCGGGTCTCCGGGGATGTGAAAGTTCACCCAAACCACTGGAACAACGTGGAGCGGTTGGAGTAGAGAGAATGAGGGCGGTCCGGGAGGGACCGGCAGGTGGGAGGAGCGTGTGGAAGGAACCTGGAACCCGAGGCCTCTGGAAAGACTCCTGGTCATGTGATCGACGTGGCCCGAGACCCTCTGCTTTCAGAGTTGGAGGCTCAGAGCAGAGGGAGGTCCTCGAAAATCACCTGGGATTTAAACTTTGTTCATGCTTACTCTACAGCAAGAAGAGCAGGTCCCAAAGTTCGTTTGCAGACATTTGGGTACGTTGGCCTGTACATACTCTTAGATTTAGATTATTAAAGATTATTACATTTAGGTACATTTAAGACCATATGAACTAAAACGAATCCTGATTTTTATCAGCAATTTTATGGTTTCCAAAATAATCAAATATACTACTTCAAGTAATGCGCTGATGTTGGCAAATATGGCAGTGATCTCCATTGTACAGCAGTTACGTGAAGTCAGTGGCTCCTCCCCTTGCTGTGGTGGAGAAATCAATGCTCTTGCTGTTTAAAATGATCCAGGCATTCTGGCTTCCATGTTCTACTTTTCTGTGCCTGAGGTAGTGGCGTTTGGACCTGGAATCTTGCCGTCTGTAGAGAGCTTGTTAGAATTAATCATAGAAGGAATGATTTTAGGTGTTTTGAATCAGAACCTACATTTTAATGGACATCCACAGTTATAGGTGTAAGCATTAACAAAAAGGAAACTTTACATTCACCACTAATGTTCCATTTGATATATGTAATTTATGATATGGACCCAGCATAAAAATGTATATTCTTAGGTTGAGTTATTAATTTTAGACACTATAGCCCATAAAAGCATAGTACACTCCCTGAATATGAGGATATCCTGCCATACTATTTCCACAGTTAGAAAATGCATTAGAGAATATGACAATGTCCAAAAGCATCTTCAGAGTACTATGATCATCATCCTTACATCAGAAAATGCCTCTCAGTCTCTTTGGTTTCCTTGATTCAAGAAAAGCAATCTGCCTGTGGACAGATGGTCAAACTGTTATTGTTCATTTCAGGGTGCGTTGACATTCAGTGATGTGGCTGTGGACTTCTCACAGGAAGAGAGGGAGTGCCTAGATCCTGCTCAGAGGGCTTTGTAAAGAGACATGGTGGAGAATTCAGCTCTCTTGTTAGTGAGAATATTTTTCTTACAGAATTCCTTACTTATAATCAGAGTTCCTTGGGGAGCTACTATATGTTTGTGTTAACTTTCTGTGAATGAGTCTCACATCTCATAAAGTGAAATTCTCAGAGGAATGTAATGTAATTTTGTCTGTTCTAATGTTTGTCCTTTGGGAAGTGTTGTGCTTCTTTCATTTTGTTCCATGGTCAGTTCAGAAACTTTATAGCATATAATATCATCACCGAATCATAAAATTCCATTTCCAACCCGGAATTTGGTCTGAGCTGTCATTAGAGGTGGAACACTAGTTATGCAACCTGAAGATGCTCTGTAAATATCAGTGTTCTGACAGAATATTCCAATCGGAGAGTCATTGGTCGAATTCCCTGTTGTGTTCTCTCCTTATCTGTTGAGCTCACTACTGTGTTAGAGATCCAGGTCCTTTCTAAAGACTCACATCATGAACCACCCAGCACAGGCATACAAAAGTGCGAGAGCACTTGGTGATTTAAGCTGTGACCACCTGGGATCCTTGGGGTGATGGTGATGTCCTGAAACACTCAAGAGGCAGGTGTTCCTGAGGGACACACTCTGCACACTTTGTTAGTCTTGGAAAAAGATTATTATTATCAATTTTTAGAAATTACATTTGTGAGACATAGAGCCAGACATCCATAAATTAAGATGTAGGATTTTAAGATAGATTCCACTTTTTAATACTAATTAAAAATGTTTAATTTATTATTTTATGTGTATGAGTGTATTGCCTGCATGTATGTAATTGTTCCCATGTCATGCAATACCTACTGAGGTCAGAATATGGTGTTGGATACCCAGAAACTGGAGTTACATATAGATGCTGTTAGCTGCTATGTGTGTGCTGTGAGTTGAACTTGGGTCCTCTGTAAGAGCAGTCAGTGCTCTTAACCTCTGAGCCATCTATCTCTCCAGCCCCTTAATATTAATTTTGACAAATAAGAATTGTGTATGTATTTAGAAGGTGTAATGCAATATTTTTTTCTCTACGTACCTTTTTCAAATTGACTATTAAATTGATGCAATTACCACTTAATGAATTCTCATATTAAAATGCATATACTGGAAGAAATGTCACAAGGTAGTTTCGAGACTGAAAACTGTCTTATAAGCCCAATTAGTATGAAATGACTGCTCCTTCAATACTGCCCGTGAGATTTCAAAAATGTGAGATTCTGAATTTCAACCAAAGCCCTCCCAGTTCATCAGAAGAGAAACATTTGTCTCAGTTAAGTACATGATAAGGCAGATTTAAAAAAAAAAAAGTTTCTATTCTACTCTCTTTGAAATTCAGATGCACAGTCTAAATGTCCCTCAGCCTGTGAATGGATCATGTAAATTTGCTACATTTACACAATGGAATGCTACTCAGTGGTAAAGGGAAATGGAATCAAGGAATTTACAGGTAAATAGTTGGGACCAGAAATGGCTGGACTAAGTGAGATAAAATAGATGCCAAAATCAAGCCACAGGTTTTCTCTCAAGTTTTTTTCCTACCACCGAATCCTGAATAGACACTTAAAGGAAGTGAATTCAGTATGGGCTAGAGATATGTGCGCTCCCTAATTATGGCAGCACTGTTTATGTAAGATTGCCTGGAAAGGAAATTCATGGAAGGAGGAGAGAGATGGCTTCTTTTCAGGTAAATACATCCAGGGTCATGGACCCATAAAATTTCTTTCTCAAAATGTTTGGTATTTTGAACTTGTAGCCTTTTCTGGTTCTAGATAATAGCTATGTAGACCACACTGGCCTGGATATGCCAGAGATCAGCATGCCTCTGCCTTCAGAGTCCTGGGATTAAAGACTTCAGCACCTACCATTCCTGACCCACATCAACTCTTTACATGTGTATCACCTATGTAGCATAGCTGTCTCTCCATTCTGTCCTCCAGTCCTTATTTTTTCCAGACTAATCCAATGACTCCATGACCAACCATTTCAAAAATATGTCTGATGTGGTAGGTAAAAATTAAAACATGTCAGTCTTCAGTTCCTAAACAGGATGGACTTGGGTCCTCATATTGCCACTGTATTGTTCTTTTAACTGTACATAAAACTGATATTTTTGTCTCATTTTATTCAGATATTGTATTGCTTTGAGTATCATTTATTTCTTTATTATTTATTTATATGTATTT